CTTATGGGTAATAATAAATCAACATATATTTATGTGATATTCCGTAAAATTTCTTCTGTTCAGTATTTATTGTTTGATAGAAATGATATAAGTAAAATACTATATCTTATTCATGGATTACCATATTGTAGCTAAATGAAAGTTCATTCATGTTGATCATAATCGTTCGATTTCTGCTCGTAATCTTCTTTTTTTTGCAAATTCTCACTAAGAAGACAGTCAGGTGATGTTCTTTGGAATATTTAGTGTGATTCATGGATGTTCTTGAAAGAAAAAAAGTGGGATGACGTGTAAAGAAACTTTTTGACCTGAAAACGTGCATATACAATTTTTTTAAAGTGAGACAGCTCATCAATTAATTTTGAATTTATTCATGAGGTCAGTCGTCCAATAAAGCTGATATATTCGAAGGATAATGCGTGTAGTATAGCATCGGATAAATGTGTTAAAGTAACGTGTAAATCTATGCAATTAGTCCTTGTTAGCGAGAATCAAATAACGATTGATAAGGGTGAAATAGAAGCTAAATGTTATATAGAAGATAGAGCAATAGAATTCACAAAGAATCAAGAGTATGTCAATGTCATAATGCTTCAATCATCTTCTGATATCTATACCAATTATTATGACATATATTTATTTCAAGCATTAATTATACTCTATAATAGTTGTTTAAGAATCTAGAGATTTGGTGATATTCTTCATTACTAGGTTTTGCTCTGTGAATAACATAAAATGTTGTTTTCATTAAAAGAATATATTTTAATAAATTCTTTGAAGCATCAGTTCTGGTGATTAGCTATAAAGCTGAAGCTTGAACCGCATGTCAGATTTGATGGTACACATCTAAACGTTCTTGAAGTACTGATTAAACTGGTCGAACTATATTTTTACACTCATCTAAAAATCCTTAGGCATACGAGATTGTAGGTTACTGTACAACATTGGCATACTATATTTTGCTATGTCAGTATTATTCATGATGCTATGTTCATTCGAATGATTCATTCGTGTACTGATTTGAATAAATATATGATTGATTAGTGCATTTGAAGGTGTGGGTGAAGATTTGGTTGTAATGAGTGACACGATCCATATCCACACCTTTTTCTTCATTCAATTTTTCTTAGTAGCCTTATTGCTACACCGAATATATGTGACTTTTTGATTTTTGGGTATTACTAGTCAAAAAAAAGATAGTCCTGTGACATTTAGTATACTGGCATACCAATTCTTAGCTTTGTATTAATCTGTCAATTAGGAAATCTTTGCTTCAACCAAACACAATAGTTCTAAGTATTCCACATATTATCTGAATATTGATAGAATTTAGACGGTAAAATATCCAGCAATAATGGATATTGTCATAATTCCTAAAGAGTTTTGACAATTGTGAAAAATCTACAATATTGGTTGACTTCCAGTGGAACTTGGACATGTTTCGAAATTCTAGTGGAATTTAGACATTCTCAAAACTCCGATGGCGAAATTCCTATTGTCTAAATTACGTTTTACCGGTTCTTTATTGGAAAACATAAAGATTCTGCTAGTATCTTGGCAGATATTGTTTACATTTAGTGCCCTGCAGGGCATGGGTAATCCACCATGATAGGACAGAACAGGGGCAAGCGATAGATTACTAACGTTAGAATCTGTTACCCTGTGGTAAAAATACTCCTGTCAACATGTGCAGAGCACTGGTGGTATGAAGGAGTAGCACGAGCGAATCGAATGATTGATACCGACTAGGCATAGAATATTTTTTAGAATCAGCAAACTTACACACAATAAACTAGTACACGAACCAATCTAACGCCGAAAATTGCTGTGAGTTACGCTCAAAGTTGGAAAATACTATCACACCCGGCTAATCTATGCAATAGAAGTCGAATCAAAGTAATCACTGACTTCGATAGAAAGGTACCCACATCGAGCAGTGCTTTTCGAGCAAAAATCCTTAAACCAGATCTCATTGTGTCTTAAATACATGTATAACTGCTTTGAATAGAATTCACATCGAGAAATGTTATAATATCTTATTCATTTTTATTTTCTCTTTATCAATATTAATCACATCAAAACTACTTTTAATTAAAAAAAAAACATTTTGCATAAGAATATAGGAGAAGATTTCTGTAGTACAGAGCACGACAGGTTACGGGTGGCAAATGTCATATCTTACAGTCAATTAATTGAGAGGAATAGATAAAGCAGAATAACTTGTATTTTTAACATTTTATTCTAAACTATTTTCTGAGACTAACTCGTTTCTCATATTTAAGTGACAAATAAAAATGGTTATATAATCATTGCAAGGTTTGAAAAAGTTGGCAAATATAAATCATGCATCAGAATACATTTTACGACGAATTTGGTAAAATTCGCACACGACTGTTTGCTTCATACAAAATGACATGGAGCTGCCAAGGAAATGGACATTGATTAATATTTACAATTATATCAAATCTTGCATTAGTTCGTTCATTAATCATTGAAATTTCACGATTACTACAATCAAAGATTAAAATAATTACATCATTCATTTTCATCTCAATACGAGAAGTAGATGGATTTGAATGAGGCTGCCCATCTAACCAAAGATAATTGTTACTAGCCCATCCATAAGTTGATTCAGAGCTGTATGATAAGTTTTGTAGAGGCGTTGACTTAGAGTTAATTCCCAGAAATATCCAAGTATTAGAAGATCGTTCAATACACAGACGAAGTTTATGATGACCTGATGTGTATTCATTTTTTCCTCGAATTTCTGTGTAGGCGATGGTTGTACCATGAATGGCGACTAATCCATTTTCTTCAACTCGAACATTATTATCAAATACTCGTTCAAAGACTTCGTTCGTTTCGATTGAATGAACAAAAACATTCTGTACTAGTGGAATTCCATCATCTTCACTAATGCAAAATGTTGAAGGCGAAATGAGGTTTACTGTTAGATCGCCCAGTACTTTTTTCCAATCACAGAGATCAGTTTCAACGAAGCTATCATGTTCTCGACCTTCTTTTAGTTGTTCAGATAGGTGCTGAAGTTTCTTTGACAATTCTTCAAAATGAATAGTGGTCTGTTGAAGCAGTTCTTGTCGTAATTCTTGTGCTTTTTGTTGAATTTTGTCGATCGATTCTTTTTCCCATTCGTTAATCTTTTTGATTATTGGATGCAAGTCAAAATTAGTTCTTTGTTCGTTGAATGTATTTTGGAATTGATTATATTCACTAATAATTACATCCATTTCTTCACTCAACAAACGACGATGATCGATAAAATGTTTAGTACATAAAGCTTGAGAGCAACCTTCACAAAGAGCAGCGGCTGTTTGCTTACAACTATTGGCGTTTGCACAATATTTTCGTGTTGAAGAAGACGCCATGTGTTTAATATAGTGAAAGATAAAAAGGTATGAGGGAAAATAATGATGAAGGTAAAAACAACAGTAAAATATAAAGAAAAAAGTAAAGTCCCTTGTGTGTACAGAACGAAAAAGTAATGTAATAGTTATGACTCATCCATTATAATACTTTGAATGGTTTTTAAAACTACAAGATATCATTAAAACAGAAACCAAAGAACGAGAATAATTCTTGGTATGATAGAAATAGTATGTTTATTTGATGATCATAACATAGGCATCTTAATAGGTAACAGGGTTATTGAAGTTAGGAATAAAAAAGATTTCATTAAATTATCATACTATTAAATTTCATGTATCACACGAGATATGATCTTGCCTTACTATTTGAACAACTAAGTTCGATATATGGAAGAATCTAGTATCTTTTCTGCTTTTTCATTCTACTGATTAGCAGTATAATCATCTACAAGTTTTCATTTTATTTTATTTTTTTTCTCACGTTTGAGATCATTGTGAAGTATAGAACCATTAGAAAGGTAATGTTGATACTATAAAGATAGTCAAAATTGATAACATGAAGAGGTTCAGAAAAAAAAATCTCAGACGACTAAGAAAGTGTTTAATATTTCACTAACAAATTCTGATTATGATAGTCAAAGATATTGATATGACCAATTTATTTCTTTATACTATTTATGATAATTTGAGCATGTTGTGTTGGCCGGATTGCTACAATCACATTGATTGCGATAAACATATTTTACACAGTTGTCACGACTAACTCGATAATTTCATAATGTCATTCTCGTCCAAGTGAAAAAGAAATTATTCTTTGTTGTTAGAATCACATAAAGTCATTGGAATCAGACGTTTTTCTTTCGATAGTATCCTAAGGACATGTCAAGTTACTCTTTGTCTTCACGTGAGTGATACAGAAGATCGTTTTACCTAATTTTTATACTTGAGTTATCGAAATGGCAAAGATTGTTTTAGGACACTTGATTGAGAAATCGATTACAGATTCAGATTCCTCGACTTCAAAAACTTTTGATCAAGTTGTATAAGAAAAGAATCGTTCTTATCCCAAAAGTTATGTCCGGACAAAAGAATCAAATTCACGAATTTTTCGTTATCCTATTATTCGATAACTCTTCTTTCCTTGTTCTCGTCGATTTCATTCACTTTTTCGTCCTACGAAACAACGGAAAGCTTTTATATCAATACACAAAACATTGTCAACAAATTGTTTGATACACGGTCTAATTCTCTATAAACAGACAAAAGTTCAGTAAGTTATATTTATTTCTTCTAATTGTATTGATATCGATTATACAATGAATTCCTTCCCTATCATCATGCATCAATATATTTGAACGTTTCACATGCATTAGAAAAGAATTTCACCGATATTAAAATTTATACAATTTTATATGTTAAGTTAAACATAGTATATATTAAAAAATTAACTCAATCGTATCAGGGATTGATTTGAAACTGCATTAAAAATTTCAATTTACGTAGCTCCCAACATCAAATAAATTATAACAAGAATTCATAGTACACAAGGTTTTTTGATTATAAATATAGGAGTCTTTAGATTTTATATAACGATGATATAAAAGAAAATGCTAATTAAATTGATAATATGCGTATACGACTGTTTGCTTCATATAGATTGACATGAAATTGCCAAGGAAATGAACAATGATCGGTATTGACAAGTAATTCATACTTTGCATTTGTTCGCTCATTGATCATCGAAATTTTATGATTATTACAATCAAATATTAAAGTAATTATATCATTCGTTTTCATCTCAATACGATCACTGGATTGATTTGGATGGCATTCTCCATTTATCCAAAAATAGTTATTATTAGTCCATCCATAAGATGATTTCGAACTGCTTGACTGTTTTTGTAAAAGCGTTGATTTCGATGTAATTCCTAGAAATGTCCACCTATCATCGGATTGTTCAATACATAGACGAATTCTATGACGACCAGTTGTATATTCGTTTTTTCCTCGAAGCTCTGTGTAATTATGTGATGTATCATGAATTATTACTTGTCTGCATTGCTTAATCTGTACAGTATTATCAAATACTTGTTCAAATAATTCATTTTCTATTGTAAACATGATAGAAATGTCTTGCACTAGTGGCAAATCATCACGTACATTAAATAAAAATGCTGATGATGAATCAAGTTTTGCTTTTAGGTTGTTTAGAGTAATCTTCCATTCTTGAAGATCAATCTCAATGAAATTATCAGTTGCTTGACTTTCGTTCAATTCTTCCGATAATTGTTGAAGTGTACTCAAAACTTCATCATTACGCATTGATACCAGTTTGAATAACTCAAGTCGTAGTTCTTCTGCTTTTTGTTGAATTTTAACGATCGATTCTTTTTCCCATTCATCAATTTTTTTAATGAAAGGATGTGAATTAGGTTCTGTTGATTGATTTAATGTATCTTGAAGACGATTATGTTCACTTATGATTGCATTCATCTCTTCGCTAAGTAAATGACGATGATCGCTAAAATGTTTAGTACAAAAAGCTTGTAAACAACCTTCGCAATTAGTGGCAGCTGTTTGTTTGCATCCACTAATTGTCGAACATAATTTTCGTGTTGATGGAGATGTCATCTGTATGATGATAAAAAAAAGAATGAAAAAATGATAATAAATCGGTGAAAGCCATATCATAATGTCAATAGAAAAGGTGTCTGTGATATAGAACAATAACAAAATGTCGGATGTCTCATGTATTCAAGTGTTTCAAGAAGTTTAATGAGAATTTACTAGTATTAAAAAGGCAATGCTTTATTTTATATAAGTCTTCTCTTTGTAATTAATCGGCATGTCTTCCTCTGATCTCGATAGCTTTCGTAATATATTGTTGAGATTATTGATGTTTACACTAAGAGTTTAATACGTCAGAAGGCTATAGATGTTATTTCTTTTCTAGAAATTTATTTCTGAAAATCTTCGAATGTATAAGTCAGTGCATGTGAAATGAAGTTCTATTTCAATCAACAGTATCAAGAGACTTACAGAAACTTAACGTAGATAAAACGAAAAAAACTGGTAAGTTAACAATGGTGTATAAATTTTGTCTTTTTATTCAGCGTTTGACAGTTAGATATCTAATACCATGCTCGTACTTTACAGAAAAAAGTTTAAAAAGAAAACGCATAAGAAAGTCAAATGTATAATTTAAAGAGCGACTGAGAAAAATCAATATCGAAAACTTTACTCTCATAATGGAAGTAAAAGCAACATGCTTCGCTACCGAATGTCATGCAAGACATCAGCCACAATAGAGGCAGACGCCTCCTAAGGTCTTCTCGATCGATGACGCGATTACGCCTGACGCTAACTGAAAAAAAGTTCTTTTGGTCAACTTTTTCTCATATTTGTTAGCCTATACTATTTCTTAAAAGTAGTGTTTCATGTTTGAAGACTTACCTAAGAACAATAACATAAAATTGAAAATGCCACGAAAGACCATTTAATTAGACAAAATGTAACTGAACATATATATATATATATACTTGCAGGATGTTCATTTCCGTCTTAATTTATTTTGTAGTTAAACTGAAGCATAATTAAGTTTAGGATGAATTTAAATAGTATACTCGTGTTAGTGAAATTTACTCAGTTAAAATTTAAGTCATTTTTTTATCGGAATAAAATTTTAATGAACATTGTATACAATTTAATTTATAAATTAAACAAATGAATAAAAAAATGATCTAATGAAATAAACAGTATTTCAGAAATAATAAGTCTGCCAACGGTTAAATTCATTTTCTTAATTTTTCAGCTTTCGATGTACACTGGTTTTTAAAAATTTCTAGAAATAGAGTTTAACAGATGATATCATCAAGGTAAGAATCACCTGCGCTTACATGGCTTACAGCACTACAACCAAATTTGAATTCAATTATTGATCTACGTATATTCAAAACTGTCTCTAAAATCAATATTCCAGCTATGATCAACAAATAATTTATCTTTAAACAACTGTGATAAGATTTTATTTAGTTTTCGAATTCGTCAGTTCAATACCGAAACAAGTATGTTTTGACGGTTTGAAACGTTGCTTTCTGTTCATCTTCGTTTTATGTAGATTTTCAAGCTATGTGTAAACTTCTCTTTGTTCTTGTTTTAAATTATTGCTATGAAAATAGAGGAACTAAAACAGAAAACATCTCGCTCATGTTTACATTTTTATTACTTCAAAAAACCTATATGATTCAGTTTGATGACAACTTGTTTGAAAAAATTTTCAAAACTATTTTTTACGCAACTTCAAGAAAATTTATTGATGGTTTATCAAGAATATTGTTAACGTAATCATGTTCATTAATAATGACATTTATTTCTTCATCGAGTCGATGACAATAATTATTAAAATGCTTCATGCACAATGTTTGTAAATGAACCCTCACAATTGGTAGCAGTAGGTTGTTTTATAACCAACATTATTTGCACACTATTTTTCGTGTTAAAGAACACGTCCTATGTGTAGTGACACGGAAAACAAAAAATTAATGAGAAAATTATTAGGCTGATATAAAAAAACGTATATTATTTAGGTATAGTGAATGGAAAACGTCTTCGATGATGAACATTGATTTGGTATAAGTCTATAATTGTTGAATACAAGCAATGCTTAAATCTAAACTATTACGAAGCAGTTATATTTAAGTATTTATTATAGAGATTTACATGAAAAAAACATAATACGATACTGTTGTTATAAGTTTTATTACATCGACTGAGTGGTACTGTTGGTGAATAAATATTTTCTACGATTATATATACGCATACGTCAAAATCAAGACGGATAAGAAATGAAAATGAAATCAACAAACAAATATGATCTGAATTTATCGAAGACATATAATAACGTTCAATAAGTGTATTTAACTATTATTCTTTTTTGTTCAATGTTGAACAAAGCGAAAATTCACAATATAACAAAATTCAAAGACGCATTTCATTTCCATGACTTTAATATATTACATAGGTGTATACGTAGCGCGTTCAAAAAGTATCCGGACTGATTTTATTTAAAAACAATAAGAAGCGCTGCTGTATTTGTATTATTGTCTGTACGTAGTTCATAGAGTCCTCTATCCATAGACATGATAAGCTCTGTTGAATAAAACGTATATATGAAAATATAGAAATACATTTGAGACCATTGTTTATACACTGACAGAAAAATCAAAAATTTTGAGCATCGCTCAGTGATGAAGTTTCTTGTTTTATAAGACTATGATTCGTTTAATATTTATGAAGGTACAGTGATAATATATATGAACGTATAGTAATAGTTTATAACGATCAATTATTTATCGGTCACTACAGCTTCTGAATAAGATCGTTGTTTCAAAGATGGATTACCATATATTGATAATAATCTAGATTTGAATAACATAACTATTAAAACTTGTAGAAGCCTGATGATCGGAGATAATCGAATCGTAACTGAGTAAATAACAGACGCTGATCACATTTCAAATGTACAGTATATAGCATTTTACTTGATCAATTATATATGACTAAAGTCAGTTCAAGGAAATAGCACATTCTCAGATATAATGTTAATGATGTATCGACCATATCTAAAACTACCATTAATAGTTAGTTATTCGCCTTTAAAACGACGAGCCCATTCAAATATCGTAGTATGTAATAGAGCATTACCACTGTAAACTGCCAATATATATTCATAAATATTGGATGGAAACTAGCCTTTTAAAACATAAAACTTTGCTCAAGTTTTTAATTTTAGTCAGTGTATAAACGGTGGTCTAAAATGTATTTCTATATTTTCATATATACGTTTAATCAAACAGGGCTTATCATGTCTATGGATAGAGGACTCTATGAACTACGCACAGACAATAATACAAATACAGCAGCGCTTCTTATTGTTTTTAAATAAAATCAGTCCGGATACTTTTTGAACGGCCCTCGTATATACAGTGGTCGATCTCTACTATACATGCAAGTAGTCGAATTAATTTATATTCTATATTTTAAATATAATATTAAAAACAAAAAAGTGATACTAGACTTTTGTGATGCACTGCAGTTGAAATAATAGTTATTCTCATATAAGCAGCAGAGCGTATAAGTCCATTAGATAGTAGTTTATTTAAAGAATGGGCAAAAATAATGAGAGAGCATTCACTATCCATTGAAAAAAGTTCAGTTACATACATGAGTAATGAATGATATAATACTAAAGATGCGATTTGTCAACACTATTACGATCATTATGATATTGTGCGTGAATAAGATATTTATAGGGATTGATCATCACATGATCATCACTTCCGATAAATTTATAACAACAATATCATACTGTCTTGTTTTCATATCATTTTCTTCATTCATATGAAAGTGTATTTCTTTTTTACTGCATTTCATGTTGAAGATCTGTTATGTAAAATAGATATATGTAAATATATGCAGCACACAACCTCTACAACATAACTAAATTAATTTAAATTTTTCACTTTCAATACACGAATTGGAAATCGAAAATAGTTCAAAACTGTTGACAAACAGTTTACGAAGCAAAACAAACCATTTAGCACAGAGGACGAATGTAAAAAATATTCGATAAGTTCAGTGTGAAAGATTTTTTGATTGGGTAGAAAATTTTGATTTATTTCAGGAAAGTTATTTTGACAAAAAAATAGTAATGTTACTTTTGTTTTCAAAGTTTTTCCCTCATTATATATGCATAGTGGCATATTTTGAAATCAATGTCAATACACTATTGATTAGTTGTTAACTATGTTGACAAAATACGCACACAACAGTTCGCTTCATATAGATTGAGATGAAGTTGCCAAGGAAATGGACAATGGGCAGTATTGACAGGTAATTCATGTTTTCTATTTGTTCGTTCATTGATTATCGTAATGGTCCGTATGTCACAATCAAGAATTAAACTAATTATATCATTCTTTTTCATTTCGATAGCATAATACGAGTTATTTTGATTTCTTTGTCCATTGGACCAAATACTGTTGTCACTGGACCAACCGTAAGTGGACGAAGAATTGTATGATTGACGTTGTAGAGGTGTTGATTCCGAGTTTATTCCCAAAAGTATCCACTCATTTACTGACTGTTCAATGTATAGACGAATTTTATGGACTCCTGAGGCGTATTTAATTCTACCACGGATCTCCCTATGATTTCTTGATGCATCACTAGTTACTACTTGTCCGTTTTGCTCAATTTGAACTGTGTTGTCGGATATTTGATCAAATAACTCGTTTGTCATTGCCATGATAAGTGAAATATTTTTCAGTCCTGGAAAATAATCATGCTGATTAATACAAAACGTAGACTGTGAAGTAAGATTGGCTTTTAAATCTTCAAGAGTTTTCTTCCACTGATGTAGATCTGTTTCGCTGAAGCTATCGTGTTCTCGAGCTTCCATCGATTGTTCGGATAGTTGTTGAAGTTTTTGCAATAGTTTATTTCTATGATTAGTTGCAAAATGAAGTAATTGTTGTCGTAATTCTTTTGCTCGTTGTTGAATATTGGCAATGGATTGTGTTTCCCAATCATCAATTTGTTTCATCAATGGATGAGAATCACATGTCGTTATTTGTTGATTCAATGCATCTTTGATTTCATTACAGTCACTAAAAATAACGTCTAGTTCCTCACTTAATAGATGCCGGTGGTCATTATAATGTTTTCCACAAAACGATCGTGCACAACCTTCGCAATAAGCAATACCAATTTGTTTACAACCATCGTCATTTGTGCATTGTTTCCGTGTCGCAGCAGACGCCATGCGAATATTCAAATGAACAACAGAACAGGAAGAAGATGCTGAACGGCACAAATAAAAATTACTCTGGCAAACCAATAAAAAAAGAAGTAGTATTTTACGGAAGGAAACAAACGCAACAAAGTATTCAATGAGTCATGTTTCCATGACATTTTCAGCTCTCGCTGTTTTCTGTTATTATAGTGAAATAAGTCATAGCATTTTTATCTTATAAGTATTAATTCTAACTATTGATAATTTAGATGATACAAATAGGTAGAACAATATAATTGAAAGTTTTGGAGAAAATGATCTGATGTCTTGAGTGCATCAAAGAGATCAATCAACAAAAACAAGTTTACATATTTATTCTTGCATTCTCTCATTAGTTTTGTTCGTAAAAATCCATCTGAAATACTTCCATGATAGATATGGGTGTGGACGACGGTGACGCTTAGAAGGCAACGAATTGGTTTCGACTCAGTCGGTTTCGAGAATGTTTCCCTAACCGGATTCAGGTCCATAAATCTTGGACCCAGCAACTTCTATTGTCGGCGCCAGAATTTAGTGTGGATTGGCGTTAGACGAATATCTCGAGAATAACAATGGCTAGCGATCTGTAGTTTTCACCGATGGAAAGAAAGCTGAATTATGACATGTTTTGATATAATAGTATGCAAAGTGAAATCATTACCTAACCAATATTTTTTTGGAGTCTGTCCAAACGATGTATAATATTGCCATGTACTTCCGATGAAATTTTCATTCTGACATGTATATTAGATAAAGGAGCTTCAGCTAAGGGTGTGGATGTATATAAGTGTGAGTGATGGTATGCTTTAACTAACACCCACACCCACACCCTCAAAACAGTCCAGATAAGTTACCATGCTCTTCATTTTCGGAAGATGATAGATAGATTTAATGCTTAAACCAAAGTGCCACCAAGTATTAGTACTAATAGTTTGGGAATACAGAAATGGAATTCGCGATTATGTCCGCGAAATTACTGGTATTGCTCAGGTGAATTGAAAACAGAATCAGTGGGATAGTCGTCATTTATCAACAAAATCAATTGAATTACAGCAAAAATCTACGATTTATCGCAATTTAGTGCTAATTTTCCAGCGATTTCCATGACATAGGGAGAAAACAACAGAAGACAATTCTAGCTGATGTGCTGAACCACAAAACTTTCTTTCGCGAAATGATCAGTGTAACTATAATTTACCGTAAGGGTTCTACGGAAACGAAAGACGCTTCGGAAAGATTTGATAAATATTCAATCAATGTTCTTGGGCCTTGAAACTTCAAATAGATAGAACAAGTTAATGGCCACTCACTTTCTGCCCAGTAAAAGATCCAAAAGAATAACATCTGCCAAAGGTTTCAGGCTTTTGGTCTCACAACCTGGACTACATAATCTTGTAATCGAAAAATGAGAAAAAATTCAACACTGAGAACATCATCACGTACTTGAAGTTATTCACAAAGGCTTATCATTATCAATAACCTTTCACGTCCTAACATAGGTGCCATCTAGCTTTCACATAACAGATCTAACTAGAGTCTTTTATTCATCTACATAGTATTTGTTTAATTTGCTCATAGATTTTCGATTATCACTTCATCGCTGTGATGCTATTTCTTTTCGACTACTTTTGATTCGTCATTCCATGTTCCACATTTCTTGTTTGTTCGTGTTTACCGGATCTCTGTTCAGAATAGTGTAACTATTTTAAGAAAATCTGATTGTCTATGATGCGATCTGTATGAGATCTATTTACAATTAATACGATAATTTTACATACAACCACAATGATGCAAATTAAAGTCATGAAGTCATTAGTAAAGGAAGACAAAATAGAACAGTGCACACTAAAACCAAATGTGTTGCTTGTGTCAAACTTTGCGACACGATGTACGACACGAAGTGTTCATTGCAAGATATTCCGTCAAGAGACGACACGACACATTCTAAAAACGATGTTCAAATGTAGTATGCAGCGCAGTTTTCATTTTTTTTTGCGTAAAAGGTAATTATGATTTTTTTCAATTTTTTCCATTTAATTATTTATAATCTGAAAACTCAAGCAGGTCAGATCTTGGAATCTGTCCGAACTCGAGTTGAGCCCGATCTTCATCAGATCATTTCAGGGTAGTCCTCTCTCGACCACCGATCAAGATCGGCATGTTCTCAACTAATAAATAATCGAGAAATAATCTAGAGAAAAATTAATAAGAAAATATATAAGTTTCATATGTTCAGTCGGATTGTCTATATGGGGCTGTGTATGCAAAATAAAGCGGTGAATGAATAGTCAGCAAATAGAACGCGACAAAGTCGTGTACGACATATTCTAAGTACGACCCATTTTTGGACTTGAACCTTCGACACTATAACGTGTGGCACATTTGATTTTAATGTGTGCCTTTTTCCTTTTCAATGAGACTACGATTAGAAGTAACTTCTTTCTGTTGCTAAGTATGTATTATTTGATTCTGGTATAAAAATTTCTTTCTATTATTAGTAGAAAAACACGAATCATGACTAATCACTTATTGATTTTGTTCTTATTGAAAAATGAACTATATTATTGTACAAAAGAAACATTTATTTTTGGTTCATGTAATGAAGTTCGACCAACATCTGTCATTGCAAGATATTTAGTAAAAATCTATCATAAATATAATTTGTTTCAAGGGAAGGTTATTGAAATGGCTGCTACAGATATAATTATGCATAAAAATAATGATTATATTATCATTATAATAGTGTTTCATATCATTGTACCACAATATCTATTAACATTTAATGACTTCGTATTTTCGAGTATTTTTACTCTTTTATCAAACGGATTATTTATTTGTGCTCTACTATATTCATGTGTATGCTATGCATTGCTGTATATACCATTGCCATTTTGTTATCCATTGTTATGTATATCTTCGTTCAGCATTGAAACAAGCAAACATGATTTACAAAATCGATTGTCATCACAACAGTTGGACTATCAGGTTATATCAAGTACAACAGCATTTTCACTATCATGGTAAAAGGATATCGAAAAGTAACACATAAATAATAAATAATTGACAAAGAATAGAATCACAAGCAACAAGAGAAGAGACATTTTGATGGAAGAAAGAGTGACATCCTTTGTAAGTCTTTTCCGAGAGTTCTCTGTAATATTCTTTTATACGAATCTCGTTTATGCAAGAGAAATTGTTCGTATTAATCAAGGATACCAGTGAATTACATGACATTAGCATTGCTTGCCAAAAAATTGTATTGTTCATTCTGAAAAAAAAAAGAATCATCTTTCATTTTGATTCTAAGTCTGTCTTTGCACTGACACTTTCTGCAAATATTTGATTTGAAAAAAAAGAATTCATCTAAGACTTGTCTAATAACATAGCACAAATCTAGGACGTTTTTTTTCACTCAAAGATTCTATTTATGAAAATTATTAGGATATTTTTTATGTTATGCCTCACCATTTTTGAAAAAACAAATCATCATTTGATTTCTAACGTTTTTAGTCGTTATTAAGTTGATGCTAAAAGTTCTGAAAAAGTCGTTCAAAATCCTTACCATGTATTGTTTGACTGATGTTCGCTTAAGTCACTGATTGTCTTTAGGATTTATCGTTTTCTTTAATTTGATTCTCACATCGATTTTCAATTTGTAATAAGCTCTTTTAATTATTTCTTTGTGTAGACATAATTCAATGTTCAAAAGTGAATTCACATCCATATCAAGCTTTTGAAGTCTGTATACCGACATCATTGAGTTCAACAGCATTCGTTCTGAATAATAATCGCATATCAATAAATGTCATTGAATATATTGATATTGCACCGTCTTCTTTTGATTGAATTCCTAATTCGTTGATATATCTTTGAAGATCATTAAACAATATAGCTGTTATTAATAGTAAAACACCAACACAGTTAATGTTGCCGAATACATTTATCTATTACACTGGCAAATTAAGACATTATGATTAAGACAAATTGTATATGGATACAACAGTTACATTTGACTTCAACAGTGATCCATGTTTTCTGCAATCGAACTCACATTAATGAGAATTTTCAGGGATCTTACTGGAAGCAATGAAATCATGGGGCGGCTATTCACCATTAACTAGGATGTGGGTGTAGCTGTAGTGCAGACAACACTCACATCCGTATCCATACACTTCCTACATCCACATTCACACTCATACACTTGCACCCTAACAGTCACACCTCACACCTACAGCTCGAAGACAATATCGTATAACATCGTCGTCACATATTATAACAAATAACTCTTATGGAAATTATATTTTTACGATAGTAGTTGAACAACAGTCAAATATGACGGAAAAGTAGAGCACTGTTTTTACTATTACTATTTATAAACAGAAAGTTTCTTTAAGCTTCCTATACGAAAATAAAATATCTCCGTCAGTACAATTAGATCGTGATAAGCAATCACATAGTTCATAAAAAAAACTATCTAAATAATAATAATCATTGTAACTTATGAGATTATTATAATCTATCGAGTATTTGTTCTAACTCTTTTCCATGATATTTTATAGTATATCGAAAACACAAATATTTACTGCTCTCGCTCTCTCTAAACCATGTCGGTCTTTTATACTTTATAAACAGTATTAGATATTTGTTTTATTACATGGATTAACTTGTTAGTTGAGAATATTTGTATAAAATCCATTTATTTATGACAATAGTAAAGTATTCGAACTGACACACTACACAAAGGTGATAGAAAACTGCACTTCATATAACATAACAGAATCTAGCAAAGTACATATTGATAGTGATGAGATAATAATAATAATAATAAAATAATAACATTAAAATGTTATAGTAGACAAAAATACTTCTACGAATGTATTAATCTTGCTGCCGTATATTGTTTTAAAAAAAATGTTTAAGAAAAGATTTGATGACAGCGTGAGCTTATTTTAAAATAATTACTAATTAATTATTTCTAGGCCATCTATATCTTGTTTTAAATATATGTGGTGGATTTTGTTAGGAGTTCGTTCTGCAATGATCCTAACAAAAAAATCAATGTATTAACAAATTTTTCGATGCATAGACGAATTCCATGACGTCCTTCTTAGTCAAGATGACATGATGACAAGGAAAAAAAGCTTCAACGAGCTAGGCCTCAACTTCAATAAGAAGTTAATCAAAAAATGTAAGTCGCGTATTGTTGTAACAAGCAAACAAAACCAAACGCTTAATGGATACGACTTCATTGTATTAGAGAGAACTTTGCAACAGTAAAATTATTAAATTAGAACTACATCAATTGTATTAAATTAACATTCTTAATATCCAACTTATGCAATCCTATGATATTCCATACTAAGAGTTCTAGAGAAGCAACAATTACCAATATACATCTCATATATGCAAACGAGACAAATCTTATTATATTACAAAGAATTTCATGAATCATAATTCCCATTTTGATGTAAGTTTGCTCACTATGTATATTTTAAGGTCTTTTGAAAACATTAATCACACCGCTGTTTTGTATGAATGAAAAATATTCTATTCAATCTCATTGGTGGTAGTGAATTGTATTTCTCGTGACGTGATAGTGGATGACAAAAAATAACAAATCTGCGTATTATCTTCATATGACAGAAAATGCAAGTATCAAAATGTACAAGTCAGGTTGACGTTTTTTTTCTGATTTACTCAATCAATATTGTCTCAATTGTCTTCTTTTTTTTTCTTTTCATTTTTCATTATTCGAAATAAATCTATTTATCATTAGATTTGACTGACATATCACCATATTCTTATCATTCAACTTCAGTTACCATACAATAAACTATCTTCATTCGACATACACAGTTATATCAACATCGCCAACACGCAAGACCCAAAAGAAGAATGTATGTGCATATTCAATAAAATATTGTGTCTGGTATCTAGAGCAACTTGTGTATAGTATCAAATAGACGAGGAGGACGAGGGGGAGAGAAGACGAGCGAAATAGAGAAGAAAGTATGTGCGTGATGCGATGGAATTACCTTTATATCCATATGATTGTGAAGAGCATATGAAAATAGAGAATTAGACGAATAAATCAAAACTCGGTCACCGTATAGTATTCACTCTATCTAGCTATAAGCACTATACTAGACAGCAGACAAATTTACACATGATTACAATAGTGCGACAAATTGTATCATTTAGAACTGATAAAAAACCCAGAAGACAAATTCTAATTTCTCTTATTGACATGGAAATGTTGTTTCGTTCCTTTTTTTTCTTTCATATGGTTAGTAATATTTTTTTCACGTTAAAATTACTTTTATATGTCAAAGAAGAGAGAAAAAAAGACGTCAATTTATATGATTGGTCATTGGATGTCGACAGATCGCAAATAAAAAATCAAAGACACATTTTTCTTCTTCTTCTCTCTCTCTCTCTCTCCCCCAATTGCTTCTTCTTACACCATTTTTTTTGCATCGAAGAAGAAAATATCAAATATCATCAATAATATACAAAACTTAACTATGTTTGCAGCAATGGATGACATTCGGTCAAAGATGATTTGCAGGTAAATTTTGACTAACAAAGAATATTTTCAGAATTTCCGAATCATATAAAAAGAACCAAAAAAAAATTCTCTTGGTTTACTAAAAGACAAAAGAAGATATGACCTTGATATTGGACATCAACTATTGTATTGTGTCCAATATTAAGTTCAATAATGCCATAGTTGTGCATATAGGTTCAATAGAAAAATGATGTTTCTTGTAGTTATACTGATATAACACATGAATCTCGATCAGAATTAACAGATCCATTATCAATATTACTTGAAGCTCGATTTGAACCATGTCAAGTATGTGGTGAACAATCATCTGGTCTTCATTGTGGAGCAATTACTTGTGAAGCATGCAAAGTAAGATTGAATACATGAAAGTATATTATTTTAATTTTTGATTTTAGAAATTTTTTTTACGATCAATTAATGGTGAAGATCAGAAATATAAATGTGTTAGAAATAAAGATTGTATTATAACGAGAAATAATCGAACACAATGTCAATATTGTCGATTTCAAAAATGTAAAACTATTGGCATGACTGTTAAAGGTTTTATTATATTAAATATGTCAAAATTTCATATTCGTTTTCTTAATTTTAGAAGGTGCAGAAATACAACAAACACCAAGAGTAGCTGATATATTTGCTCAAATTTCTTGTTATGTTTGTCAAGCACCATCAAGTGGTATTCATTTTGGTATGAATTAAGTTGATCTGTTTGTTTTTCTTTTTTTATAAATGTATATGTTTATACATAGGTGCTATTACTTGCGAAGGATGTAAAGTAAGTCAAACATGATAACAAAAATATTAGATTTTCATTGAAAAATATTTCTTAGGGTTTTTTTCGAAGAAGTATTAAAGAAAGAGCACCAAGTCGTTATAAATGCATGGATAATGGAACATGTGAAATTAATGTGGCAACAAGAAATGCTTGTCGTTATTGTCGATTTCAGCGATGTATTAAAGTGGGTATGTCTGTTGAAGGTAAGTTTAATTATTTGTTTAGTTATATATATTGACAATGATTTAGGAAGTCGAATTGGACGTCAAAGTAATTTGTTTAAACATCATATGCGTAAGTTAATATTTCGAATTTTATATTATTAGAACCAAAATTAATTTTGTGAAACACGATCTCAAAGAAGGTGTAGGATGTATAGGAGTGAAAGTTGAAAGCTTCTTCCTACAGAAGCTAGTTAGAAACCATCACTCGCTGTGTATCAATAATGTCTTGTTATAATAAGAAGTAGGTCGAAAGTTTCTAGACTAAGTATTTAATTATTTTTCACGCATTCAAACGCATTGATGGTATTGTAAGAATAATTGAGAGTGATCTCTATCGTTGAAAACGATGCAAGAACGGAAAGTTTTGGTTAATCGGCTAAGAATAGGTACAATTGTGACCGATAATCATTTTGCACTTAAAATGCGACAATCGGGAAATTAACCATTTTTCTTGCGATAGACTTTATAAAAACTTTTACTGTTCTCTAGAAAATTATTTTTTGTGTCTTGCAATGTATTCGATAAAATTTTGTGGCATGACTCGAAGTCAAAATTTAGAGAAAAATTCTAAGCATATATTCTGAAAGCACCCAAAACTTTCATTCTAATACACTACTAATACATTTAAATACACAAAAAAGATCAAATATCTTGTCTAGAAACTTTCGGATCGCCTGTTACATGAACTATGCTTTTTTTTGTATTTCTGGAGGATCAAGTAAAACGGGTGGTGAAAATATGTATCCCAAAACAAATAGAATAAAATAATCTTCATGTGATTAGCAAGAACAGCAACATCGAGTTTCATATTTTAACTCCGCAGAGGATTTCACTGACAGCTTTCTTTTTTTTATATAGGTATGATGCTTCAAAGAAATGGTCAAATACCAAATGCAACAATGCTTCACCAAATGGTTCATTCAACATCATCTTCTTCTCGAAATAAAGCATCAAACAGGAAAAGAACGATAAGTGAATCTAGTAGTTCTGAAAGTGAATGTAAGTTGAGCTTAAAGACATGATAGAATTTCGATTACAAGATATATTTCATTTCCTTTGAGTTAGTAATGTAGAACAGCGGTCCGAATGTTTTTTTTTACATATTATATATAAAAAATCGTGATGTTCCGAGGTCACCAAGATTGGCTGAGAAGATCTTCGATAGGGATACCTCTGATAAAAAGTTATAATATAACGCAAAAGAACTAATAGTTTTTCTCAACACTCATCTTCTATCCTAGTCACACAATCGACATCAACTATCATTGATTTCGAAGATCAATTAGATCATCAAAGTAAAGAATTAATTTCAAATGTTCACAAAGCTTTCAAAGAAACACTTGACGTATGAGATAAAAGAAAACATTCCTCTTTTATTTGAATTAAAAAGAAACTTTTTCTATTTTGATAGAATTTACCAATATGTCAAGATACTGGTAATCCTTGGTTATCATCTATGAATCAATTTAAAAATTATGCTAATCGTTCAGTAAAATTTGCTACACGTATACCTGGTTTTATGAATTTTCATAATGTTAATGATCAAATTCAATTAATTAAATCTTCTATTCATAGTATTATTATATTATGTTTACAACGTTTAAATAATTCTTTTATGTGGAATTATTTTAATGTTATTGATCAAAAATTACATGAACAATTCCAACAAATATTTCCATTTATTGAACATATACGTTCTGATGGAGAAAAAATTCAAGCATATATTTATTCATTAAAATTAGATGAAAAAGAATTTTCATTATTACTTTCATTATTAATTATATCAACAAGTAATATTCATCTTAATGATTTTTTATTAATTGATTCAACTCAAACAGAATTAACATGTGCATTATGTGATTATATGGATAGTAAACGTGGAAGTAAAAGTCGAGATTTTTATACATTAATGTTCTTATTACCATCATTAAGAAAATTAAATGCAATAATACAAGATCATATTAGAAATGAAGTACCAAAAAATATTGAATTTCCAGCATTTTTTTCAAGAGTTTATCTTAATGAACAAGATATTGTAAGTTTTATTGTTGACAATTAACTCAAATGTTTACTTTTATTTGTTTTATGTTTTTGTTAAGAATTATCAACAAAATTATGATGGAACGATTGAAAACCAACAGACAGAATTTTAGTACATTCCATCGAACAGTAATTTTTAATCAACCGGTTTTTTTTTCGTTTATAACGGTGAAATTTAATGTTGTATGTTTGTGTGTGTTTATTTAAAACTCAAATGTCTTTCTTTATTAAAAAAATTTCTTATTATTAAATATTACCAATAGAAGTACTTATTTGAAGTTGTTCATTTGTATTTATTGACGAATAATTTGTACCACATGTTTTTAACCATTGAGAATTATTTATAGGTGGATAGTATAAATAACAATTTGGATTAACTGGTGGATTAGACTTATATAAAGATGGAGCTTTAAGTAATGACCCAAGTGTACCAATGAGACTAACAGAAACAAAAATAATTAGAAAAAAACGATCGAGTATTAAAGCAATAAAACGCCATTCTTCGACGATCTAAATGAAAAATTCATTATCAATAACGAAATGAGCAGTCAAGATATCAATGCAAGTCTTAATCTAGCTTATAGAATAAAACGAAGACACACAAGATCATAAATTAACTCAATAAGAATTTCCACAAGAAAACGACTCAGTCATGAATGATAAGCTGTCTCGAGTTTTTTAGTGACATTTGAAAGTGAAACAGAAATGATAAAACTCATCATAAAATAAGTTTTACTCATTGTCTGAAATGGATTCATTAGATTGTATTAATTTATGTTAACCAAGATCACATATACACTAATAGAAAGAGTGCATAAAGTTATACAAAAATTGTTTTGACATCTTTCTACTATTTTGTGTTATATAGTGCGCCATATGGGTGGCAAAGTGGTTATCATTGACAGTGTAGTCGGTATTTCTGCCCTATTTTCAATTTGAAACACTTTCATTGATATATCAATCGATAGTTTTTTTTAAGTTCTACCAAATGATACAATGGCATGAAAGTGTATGTGATCTCGACTAAAATAAATTAGTACAATCTGATGGATGCATTTCAACTTGAGAGTAGAACTTCTTTGACTGTTATTTTTATCATTTCCATTTCTCTTTCAAACAATTGGATAATACCATACAATTTTCTCATGTTTTATTTTTTTTCAAAAACTGCAGCGATTAATGATAGAAATTTCTATCATAAGTCTTACTTCTTTTTCAATTTGGGCATTTTCAATTTGTTTTGCAATATAAGCAACATGATCAGCTGTCATTTTTAGAACACGTCTTCGTTGTTCATCTTTCCATTGATATCTTAAAGGTTGATTTTGCTGAATTGAATTTGAGTTTTCTTTTCTATATATATGTCTTGTTGGTATATTTGGTCTTTTCATCAAAAGAAGTTTTGGTAAGTAAACTAAAAGCATTTTTCTTAACCATGATGACATATGTGTTGTTGGATGACGACGAAAATGTGTATTAAGTATTATAATTGTAATAATAATAGATAAATGAACAAGAACAAGTGTAAATAGAAGATATTTTCCAAGTAATGGTATAACTAATGATATTGGAGGAATAAGTTCAATAAGTAATAAATAAAATACTAATAATGCTACAAGAATTGATATAGATAATGTAATTTTTTTTCGACTATCAGATGGTAAAAGAAAAACTAATACAGCTAGAACAGAAATATTTACACATGGCACAATTAAATTAACGATATAGAATAATGGTTTTCGTTTAATTGTACATGTAAATGTTAAATCAAGATAAACTTCAGTACAACATGAATAGACTATTTCATGTCGAATTGCTCGAAGATCTACAATAAAAACTTTATTTAAAAAAAAAAAAGAGTAGCAAACATTTTTTTTTATATACTTAAAATTTCCCATTCAATTGAAGGTGTATAATCTTCAAGATCCCAACCACGTTCAAAAATGACTGATTGATTATCAGTTAAAAATTGTAAATTAACAAGTGAACCCGAATAAGTCCATGTACCAAATTTAAGTGTACAATTTTGAATATCAAATGGATAATATTGAATATCAATTTCACAATATGATTTATAGATCATTGGTGGATTCTATTGGAAATCAAAGTTTCATTTTTTAGACCAAAAAAAAACAAAATTTACTAACCCATTGAACAGTTCCATCATATCGAATTTGTGCTTTTGAACTTGATGTTATTTGATAATTTCCATCAGCATCTTAAATAAATAAATAAATACAAATGATTAATGTATTATTAGTAAATATTAAAATTTACTATTATATAGAACAAGATCTGGCTTCCATATTAAATCATTTGGTATATGTATATATTCTACTTCACCAAAATCTCCTGGTAACCATTCAAAACTAGAATCATGCCATTTCTAAATATATTATAAATTATTTTCGTTCAAAATATTCTTAGACATATTTACATGAAGAACATAGACATGAGTCTGCATTATTTGATTCTTTTCATCCTAGAAAAAAAAAACAATAGAGATATTGTTTCAAAGATATTTATTCAATCAGAAAAAAGCTTACGAGCGAACTTCCCCAAATGTAACTCACCAATAGACCTGATATTTTACTCATAAGTAGATTCTAACGCGCGTATGAGAAACAGGTAAGTGTTCGTTCCCATACGCTCTCCTTCATAAGTTATTACAATTTTACTGGATTTTTTTATGTCTAGCAAAGTATTCGGGAAAAAAATCGAAGTACGAAATTTCAATCTGAAATTTTCGCATGCAGATAAAAGAAAATAAGATCGAACGTTCAATACATACTACATCAGCGATTTGAATAAGTTTAAGACCAACTTTAACAGTAACAATATCAGAATTATTTTTTACTGGTCGAACATTTTTATTATAGTTTGACATTAAATATTGATAAAGTTCACCAGTTTGATCAGCATAAACTGAGAAAGAATGGAAACTTATTAATGAATGATGTTTTTTAATTACCTGATGAGAATATGTTCATTAATACAAGACATAAATACAAAGAATATAGCTTCATTGTATTCAAGAAATGAATCGTGTTAACTATTTTTCGTGATGATTTTGTCGTTCCTTTTCTATCGATCACAAAAAAAATGAACCATTCATATTGGTTTTGTTTTCTTCTTCTGAGTTCTTTTCTCTTTCTATTTGCTAAGTAAGCCAGATGAAAGAAAAGACATGTCTTTTCTATAAAAAAGGAAAATAAGAACAGACAAGCATTCAAACTATGGCCTAGTATTAATAACAAAAGAAAAAGAGAATTATTCTATAGGAAAAGAATGTATGATGGCAATTGCAAAAAAAAAAGAAGAGGAATCAATGATCGTCCGTGCATGTAGTTTGTTGACGAGAATTAATCATGCAAATATGGAGAATGATATGTTGGACAACGAGGGCAATCAATTGACTATAAGAGGGTTTCGAAAAAAATCAAAATCATTTTTTCCTTGAATTTCACTGAATTTTTTGATTATTATTACTTATATGACTTGTAACAGTGAAAGATATGTTGTTATTTTCGATTTTGCATATTCCTCATCTATCGTTTATTGTAATACCATTCTCTGTTCAATAGGTGTTCATATAGATAAAATAATCTAGCGATTCCTAGAATGATAATTTCTTAATATTTCCATAAAATAAACATGTACAGAAGACAGTAGGACAGAATCATAGTGATATGTTGAATTGCAAATCGTAGTATTTCGAAAAAGAATAATTAATGAAAGCGTAACAAGACATTAAACTAGCGAAAACAGCAATAGAATTTTTCTCAATTATTGATCCAATACATTTACAGCTATATGGTAATGGCAGAAGTATTTTCAAAGTTTAAGTCATTTACGAGTCGCTAAGGATTCATCCATAAAAAACGTTCACGCATCTTTTGTGAATATTTTTCTTTTTTTCTTCACATAAGTTTTGCTGATATTTTGAAGGTTAATTTGTTTTGAAGAGAATTTTTAAATAGGAAACGAACTGCATGAATCAGTTGATTATCGGGATTGTCAAATCTCGTGATTTAGTCGGAAGATTCCTGGTTTTTCAGACTTTTCTCCTGGATTCAGGAGTTGGTCGTTAAGAGTGTCTATGCGTCTCTCAGGCATTTCTTATCTAAAATTTTGATCACATTTTCAATTCAACAAGGCAACACTTTGTTTTCGCTTGCGTTCTCTACTGTGTATTTTTCGAATATTTTGTTGAAAGAAAATAATATTAGGAAAAAATCAAATTCGTTAGAATATAATTTTTTGTCACAATTACTAAAAAAGATCTTATTCTATTTTTCTGAAAACTAATTCGGAACGAGAAATGCTTTATCATCTATGATATTAACTAAATATTACTTATCAAAATTAAACGAAATGATTGTTGAATTCCACAAGCTCCTTTTTTTTTCGAGAGAATGTTGAATTTATCTTTCTTGTTCCTTATGTATCATTCTCAGAAAATTTTATTTTCTTTCGAAACAAGACAGTCAAATTATTTCTTAGATTTCAATAAAAATCTCCTTGTTTTTTTTTGTATCTAGATTTGGTAACCTTGTTGAATATGAATATGATGTCAAAAGAATTGAACATAACGTCATATGGACAGTTAGTTATTTTCTGGAGCAACAATATGAATATTGTCAGATTTTTGAGTGTCATTGATATTGATTAGTTTGTTGTTAATGAAATTTGTGTATATTCATGTCTATGTTTGATATATCTATTTAATGAACTGTTATTTATAATCAGAAGCAAGTCGTACATCTGAACAAACAGACTCTTTTTCGAGAAAACTGTCTTTTTAATACTGAATGTCTAAGAGAAGAAGAAGGTTGAAAAAGGCTACTTTTACCTATCAGTCTTTTATGAATGACTCTTAATTTATTGAATGAAAAATTTTTTTAATCCTCTAACGAATATATTTAATAACCATTTTTTCACCCAATTATTTAATTATGTTTCAAATTGGTGGTGATAAATCACGTTGTTTAATATTCATAATCAAGTTGAAATAGGATGTTGAGATAAACGATTTTGGTCTGCTACCCAAAGACAGATATATTATTCATAGTATTGATTATTCTTTCTTTTATCAACGATAAATCTACATTAAAAGCATTGTCTACTTGATGAAATATCCTTAGTTTAATAGTTTATTTCAAAAATGAGTAAATAAATATTACGAGATTTTGTTTGTATTGGAAATTGAATAGTTTTCATGCGCTTATTACAGTTTTTCTGAATATTTCTTTTGAATTAATTTCTTATGAAATTTTTCTACTAACCAAAAACATCAATATGAAACAGTAGTTGGATCTAACGAAGTTTACTTCTGCAAATAAATGTACTTGTATAAAATAGGCTTGACGAATTCAAAGTTCTTTTTCATAATAATACAACATAAAAAACAAGTATATTAAGTAAAAACATATCGTACATGATATAGGTAAGCGATGGTATGTTAGATGTACAAACGAAAATGTTCTTTGTAATTAATTATTTGTATTTGATTAACTGATGAATGTCTTTTATGATGTTTTTCTTTTCTATGTAGATAGATACTTAAAAGAATGTGTTCGATTTTATACAAGCATTTTCTTTACAATTGAATATGATCACTTCGTTTTTCCATGTTCTAATTATTTGGCAATGAATACTTCTTTTTGTTTGTAATAGTCATACTAGACCTATACTGATACATTCTAAACTTAGTTTCATTGATTCTATCATTGATAAGTAAAATTAACTAATATTTACACGTATGAAATTTGATATATCATTCAACAACTGTTTTTCTTTGTCATTGAATTCAAATAACATGCTTGCATTCGATTTCTTATAAAACTTTCTTTTACTTTTGTTGCGAACAGTAAAAATAAAAAAATGCTCATCCAATTTTTCTGTCTCATCTTTTTAATTCATTTTGGTACATCCATAAGTAATCAAGAAGATTTATCTATATCCAAATATTTTCATATCGGATGTTTAATATTAAATACCAATAATCAATATATTATGGATTATATTCAAGAAAATTCTTTATCACCATATCAAACATTTTCAAGTTCAAATATGACAATTGAATTATGTTTTCGTCTATGTCGACAATGGATAATTTTAATCAATAAAAATCATACAAATTGTATTTGTTTATATACAATGACTAAACCAAATGAATTCAATGAATTTCTTGGTGAATTTGTAACAATAAATAATTGTACTTCAAATAATTTACAAATCTATTCATTAACAAAAGATTTTGATTTATTACCATCAACATCATTATCTAATTATGATTGGTCACTTGATGGTTGTTATTATTTACATGGTATTCAAACATATCGTGCTAATCTTTTATTAATTGATATTGATTATAATCAAGGAATTGATACATGTCGAAAACATTGTCAAATAAAGCGTCAAACAAATTATTTTTCATTTTTTCTTTCATTAAGAAAATCTTGTTATTGTTTACCAATTGAAGTATCCCAACCGATGATACCTAAAGCTGTACGAAAACCACTTATTCATTGTTCATTTCTATCTTATTTAAAAAGTGGATTTGAAAATTCCTTAAATCAATCCGAAATTAATTTAGATACAGTTGTCAAAATTAATGTACAACGGTATTGTTCACCAGCATTTATTTTTGATAGAAAGTTACATCTATGCTTAAAACTTATTCCACTTAGTATACTAAATAGTTATACAAAAATTAATACTAATGAAAATTGTCTACCAATATTAATAAAAACATATGAACAATGGAATCATTTAATATCAAAAACATTGACATTACGTACACTTACATATATTAAGATTGATTACAATTCAACATATATATTTGATGATTTATTTAAATCGAAATATAGATCATTACCATCAAATGATCTTTGTGTTGTTATTATTCAAACTAATGCAAATCGGTCATTATCGTATGAGCTTCTCCCATGTTCAACAGCACGTTCACCAGGATCCATACTTTGTTCACAAAAAACTCTGGAAACAACGATGTCTGATCAAACAGAATTTAAAATGATGTAAGTTTAATACGAAGTATTTAATCAGATAAAATCAATTCTAATGAAATGTTCTGTTTTTAATTAATCCAAGTTGTTTTGTAAAAAAACTAACACAATATGTTTTCAAGGTGCTTTATCTATTTTGTATTAGAACCTAATTACAAATTATAAAAACTCAGTCTATACATGTATCTCGATTGCATATAGAGAACATTCATCGTACAGTTTGAAGAAAAAAGACCAAGAATGGAAACTATTCAATCAAAGAAAAAAAAATTCTTTTCATCAACCAACTAAGCGCTATTCTGTGCCGATAAATTCATAAGAATTCATCAAAAACATGAGTCTAATCAAACAAAGATTCCTATTGATCTTAGTCGCGTTTTCATAATAATCGAGGAAAGACCACCTGTGATTGGATATAGTTCCTTGATAATTGAGGACAAGCCAAAGATCATGAAGTACGTCTTTCTAACAACAGAAAAAAGTGCATCAGTCCTAACAATACTTAAATCGTGTTGAAACTTTCTAGAATTTTCAAAAGCTATTCTATGAAACTAATATTTCTACTGAACCATCTAACTAGTTCAAATATTGCAGGTTTTAGCATTTAATACAGCAACAGGATCTAATGGTAGATGTTAATTAGTAGAGTGGTGACATTAGTGATTTAGTAGAGTCAGAATCAGAGATGTCCATCGCGGCTGAAAATCTGCCGCTGCCGCGCCGCGGCCTTAGAAAAAAAAAGCTGCCGCACCGCTGCCGCGCCGCGGCGGTTTATAAAAAAATGTTGCCGCGACGCTGCCGCACCGCGATGACTTATAAAAGAAACGCTGCCGCCCCGCTGCCGCGATGAATTATAAAATAAACGTGCCGCCACCGCGCCGCTGCCGCGACGATTTTCAAAAAAGTGTTTCTAATTTCACTGCTGTGACTATATTTGACCAGAGATATGGGTACTAGTCCATCAGATTTATTCAATATCAGGGCGTTTCATTTGTAAATCGTGAAATTCTATTAAATTCATACAGTTTTTCAATGTCCTCCAAAAAAATCCTGCCGCTGCCGCGATGGTTTTTTAAAAAATCTGCCGCTACCGCGCCGCTGCCGCGATGGACATCTCTGGTCAGAATACGATGGACATGGAAAAGTATGAACTAATTGAATTCTATGTCTAGACGAAACTCAACAGTTTATGTCAAAGTTTCATGTTTTTTGCTATTGTTTCTTGTCTAATCTAAGAAACTCTTCTTATGTTTGTATATTTAGAAATACTCAAGAACGATCGTCTATGATTTATAATTATTCTTGTCCATCAGAATTTGTTCTATTCAATAACAAGTGTTATTATGTTCATACATCTTTTGTTTTTAATATTTTACACGGTGAACGTCTTTGTTCGAATAAATATTCGAATAGTACACTTGTTAAATTTAATTTTCATGAATGGGATAATGTAAATACCAGCAGATTTCTTGGTAGATCATTTGATGATGTTCGACTTGAATTTTTCTACTATGAATTAGAAACAAGATTATTAAGTGAATCAAAAAATGATACGAATACAAAACATTGGTTACGATTATTACTTGGAGATAAAACTAATCATAATGATTGTGTTCTACGTTATTTTATTCGTTCATCAGGTGCATTTACTGCTTTTCATCGATGTAATCATGGTGGTCATCCTGTTTGTCAATGTGAACCAATCAGAAATAATATGCTCAAAATAATATTAATTAATGAAACGCAAAATAATATAAGTCAAATTAAAAATGATTCATTAGAAACCAATATTAAAATTGAGTCATCAACAATAGACTTAACTCTACCATTTTTATCAAATTCTACTAATCTATCAATTACGTCAGATGAAACAATCATACCGATTTGTGATAATTGTACAAGTATAATTGCTGATGAAGATCTTCTTAATAATGAGACTAATATTGATTATAAATCGAATAGTAGTAATATATTAACAACGACAAAACCTCAACGTTCTAATTATCGACGACTGGTGATGATTGTTACTGGTTCATTAATAACATTTATTATCTTTATTACAGGCATCGTTTTTCTTATACGTTACATTCGACAAACCTGTGGATCATATTCAATCCGTAATGGTACTAGGGATCCATCTCGTGGAAAACAACGTCGATCAACCGGTACAATTCCGAATGATGTATCAAATAGACCTACTGTTGTCTATAGTCGATTAAAATCACGTCCACCATCAACAACAATGGATGTGGATATGATGCATGGATTTAATATTTCCAGCGGAAATGATGATACGGTTCAACTTTTACCACAACCTATAAATCCTACAACACTTAATGAAAATATCATAACAAAAGATGATGAAGAATCTTTATATGCAAAAATTCAACCTTCTAATGAAAAGTGACATCTGTCCTATAAAATATAATTCGTTTTTATTTTTATTCCATATATTAATCATATTCATTTATCTTATATAAATGCATGAAATATAATGTTTCTTTGAGATTGTGTAACATTTGATTCTTGTGAGATGGTAAGTGAATTAGAAAAAGTAGAAAAACAATGGAGTCTACATGCAGAAGATTGGAATCAATGGATTGGTGATGATGGAGATTCGAATCGGAAAGAATCAAGTGATATCTATCTTTGGAAATATATTGGAAATGTTGATGATAAAGTTGTTCTTGATGCTGGTTGTGGAAATGGATATTTAACAATAAAGTTTGTTCTTGAAACACGTATTAAACGAATAATTGGAGTTGATTTATCATCAACTATGATTAAGATAGCAAAAGAAAATATAGATCGACGAATAACACGAGATGAAGATCATAATAGAATTGAATTGTATCATGATTCCATAACTGAATTAAAATCTATTGAAAATAATTCCATTGATTTAGTTATTGCAAATTATGTTCTTATGGATACACCTGATCTTGATTCAGTAATAAAAGTAATGCTTTTTTTTTTTCTTTAAATGAAGAAATTAACAGCTATGAACTTTTGTTTGCATATTTTATACATGAAAACAATTTAGGCATTTGAACGTGTTCTTAAACCATCGGGTCGTGCAATCATTGTCATTCTTCATCCATGTTTTGATAGTGTACCAGAAAAAAATGGTTCTAAACGTATTTATACATGGTCAAAATCTTATTTTGATGAAACACCTGAGAAACAAGAATGGGAAAAATTTTCACTTCATATGTATCATCGATCGTTATCAGTGTATTTTCAAACGTTCCACAAATACGGTTTTACATTAATGGATTTTGATGAACCGAAATTTTTCAGTAAAATTCATCAATATGATTGTACTTGTGCTGTTTTATTTCATTTGAAAAAGAACTAATAAAAGTTGATTGAGTGTATCTATGTTATTTCTTAAATAAAATTTACTTGAGTCTTCATTGATACAATAATGTTCACGCTCTGGATTACATGAAGTAAGACAATTTCATCGGCTTGGGTACCATGGAGCTTGAAAATCCTTCAACTTCTTTCATACCAAATATATCCAAATGATTCTTCATAATTGTTAATTTAACCCTTTGAGTAGGAGATTATTTTTCAAAACAAAAAAGAATTTAAAACTTTTAATGCTCAAAATTAATGTATATTTTTAAACTTCTACACTTCTCTGTACTTCTATATTTCAGAAGCACCGACGTATACTTTTTTTCTTCTTGGCTAGGATTCATTTCATATAGTTTTCTCTTATATAGTTCCTAAAATTTAGGATTACTTCTAGGAAAACCTTCACTTTACAATTCAATTTTTTATTTGAAGCTCGTATAACACTGCAAAATTGAGAGATGTAGGTCTTGATGGTGGTATTGAAGTGAAGACTCAAATCTACACCACACACTATTGAAATATATCTGTGAAAAAAGATAAATGATAATAAACAACATACGTCCTGATACTCGCTCAACCTACATATTCACTCTCATCAGAAACCGAACCGAACCCAAATGAATTTTCAAAAAGTGGTGAATGTAGACAAACACATAAGAAAAATGGCTGATTGAACTATCACACGTTTTTGTAAAACTGTGATACTCTAGGGGACGATCAAATGACGTTTGATCGATTGTTCTACATCAGAGATCAGAAACGAACACGAACAGATTTTTAAGAAAACAAAGACGAACTGAATCAAACCAATGAAATTCGGTTCGATTTGAGCTCTGACCCTCATTATCAGATCATAGAACATCATCGAATATTTCTGCTTGTTTGAAATAATCTTGAGCCAAAGTATTATCTATTTTTGTTTTTCTTTAGCAATTTTGTAGATATACATGTATCTTTTATTACGAGTTTGACTGTAAGATTTAGACAAAAAGTTAATATATATATATATGTGTGTATGCTAAACAAATATATAGATAGCAAAGTTAATGACAATTTTACACATCGCTTTCAGATAGACGTCAAAGAACAGTGTATCTTTTTAAAAGATTATTTAACAAATTTTTAAGATCTTTAAAGCAATTTTTTTCTATTATTCAATAATAATGAGTAATGACATTTAAACGTATTTTAGTAAAAATCAAAGGATGATCTGAGGTGGCGTTACTTTTTATCTAGTTATGATTGCAACTGCTAGAAGAGGTGATATCTATGCGTCTTGTGAATAATAAATTGTTTTTATTTGTAAACAGATTTAGTTTTTTCATCAACAATGATTTTCTATAATTTGATTGTATTCATACAAAAAAAAAGATGAAATCGAACCATTAACAATAGTTTTAGCATTTTTCATGTTTTTAGTTGTCGATTTTAGGAAACCAACTGTAATTAAATATTGTCCTATACCGTACATGGTCATGATGAGCAAACCTGATATATAGGAATGGGCGCAACAAATCGATTGAATGCTAATAGTGAATCAGAAAATAATAAAGAGCATTGCTTCAAGAAAGACGAATAAATAACCGGTTACTTTGTGGTCACGCAAATAGACTACATAACTCACGTCAACAATTACAAATGTATAGATGACAACCGGGAAGATACAACTGTTTGTCTTCTGACAGTTCTCATTTATAGATGAATAAAGAATGTAGAGAATGATTGCGAAGTAAGCAAAAAGAAAAGAAGTAAATGAAATGAATGTCATCGATGAAATTGTATGTCGTCATTATTCATCTCCAGCGAAAAACGAAACAATATGAGCAATGTGAACAAGCACAAAGGCTATCGAACCCAGAATGAATGCGGCATCACCGGTGTTTATCAATACTGGGTCACCGACACAGGAAAGAATAAGTGCCACTACAAAAAAGATGCGTTCGATGAGTAAAGTCTTTTATGTATTGGACAAAAATAGAACTAAGAGAGCGATCATAAGCCACCGTCTCACTGATGTAATGATGGCATAATTTCGAGTTTTTTTCACCGTAAAGTTCAATGATAAATAGAACGAAAAAACAATTTAGTTAATGTTTCAAAAAAGTGCATTCTTTGTTTTTTCTTTGAATAAAGTGACACTCGTATTCTATTCAAATGGAGCGAAACATCTTTTGTTAGTATCGACAAGAAACATAGGTAAAGTCTCGTATTTAAAGACAAAAAAAAGAATTATATATGCTGCTTCAATCTTGGGAAGATGTCATGTACATGTAGAAAAAGCGAATGCTTATGCTCTACAATAGATCTTACTCTGATTTAAGCAAAACCAATGTCCATCTACAAAAGAAACTGAATGTTTGATCGACATACGTATGATATTAACAGTAATGATTCAATCGCTACACTTCTTATTACGTTTGGTGTACGTTTTATTGCTGATATTGTCTTGAAAGAAATTTTGAATTAGGTTCATGCAAAAAATGACATAACGAACAGTCGAAAATTTGGGAAAAAAAGGAAATATAACGCATATCTACAGTGTTCCTGATCTTTTAGTACAGAATACTATTAATTTGAAAAATAATTCTGAGAGGTTTCCTGATATTGTACATTTATCCATATGCAATAGAGATTGGACAATTGAGCATGTTATGTTTTTTTTTCGGCAATACATTATTCTATCAGCTTATATCTTTTCCATGCATAGAAAGTTATGAGACTACTTTTGGTAAAAATCTACGTGTATACGTGACTTTTATTTGTATTAACTTTGTAATCTTGATCTCTTTATGCTAACGAATTTGTGAATATAAATTGGAAACTTTCCATCAATTAATCCTTTATTCTCAACGAACTCGTTCGAATTATTTTTAACTCTTCCGCTTCAATAGAAGTACATATCATGATGCAATATAGAGGTACATCATTACAGTTATGGTCGTTCTCTCTTGAGAAATAAATTTTAAATAACAATATTTTGAATATGTCTCATCAGTAATTTATTGTTTTAAAGTATTTTCTGTTGAAAATAGAGATTTTGTAACAAATACGCAGTTAGTAATTCATATTCTGTAAAAGATGAATATTACTCGAAATTATTAATTAAGAAGTTCATGATCTTCGCATAGAGCATTCGAATATCTCTTGTGATATTTTTCATTGATTAGAAATGAATTTATGAATCATTAGTAGTATATTCTTCTACTCTCTTTAGGACAAAAGGCCCAAGTTTTAATAGTAGAAATCGGTCTATATATGTTGTCTTACCAATTATTTCGTAAACAAAAAATTTTAATAAAGAAAACGAAATATTTTGCTACTGTATAAACTAAAATGTATGAACGACTCAACTAACGGCTATATTTAATATATTGCTACACTGTTTGTTTTGATCTTGTTCTTCATGTTGCATATATGACTCACTGTATTACCAATAATAATCACAACAAAGAAATTAAACTATGATATGGTTGTTGCTATCATTATTAATGAGTTGTCAAAGAAATCTGATATTTACGATAATTGGAAACTGTAGCTTCATTCGTTTCCTTTATATAGACGAAAAATCTTGTGAAATGTTGACGTAAATCAAACGCTGCAAAAAGAACCATTGATATAACTCGAAGAACCTGCTCGATCGTAGAGCAGCTTGTTAGGTAATAGTCACGAAATAGTTTTTTCTCGTGCATAAAAGCTCCCGCAAACCACAGAACAACGTTCTCTGGCAATAACTCGGTCGCTACTTAAGCCTTTACTCTAGTCCGCCTTTTCGATATTATTCTAACATAGAATGTGATGACTGTTGCTTTAGTTTAATCAATACCATCATAAAAGAGAACAAAAAGAATCGCTTTTTCAAGTGATTTTACTTCTGTTGTTTATTCATTATTTTTTGGAGTACTCAAATAAAACTATATAAAGAAAAGTGAGTTCCATAGATTGGTCTATAACATTTACATATCTGAGATACTATAGTGGGGGCGATTCAGATTTACTTGAATTATACAGCGATGCTAATAGTTTTCTCGACGATGTATTGGTAAAATAAGAGAGATGCTTGGCTCTCTGCACTTCATCTTCTATGTGGATTGTTTTACGGAAGTGTTCTGAGCGATGATTACCGCTCTACCGGTCTTGACTACATGAACTAATTTGTTTATTGAACAAATGTTCAATGAAAATAAGTCGAGAACATCGAAGAAAAGAAATGATTTGCGTCGGATGAATTCAATGTCATTCTAATCGATGGAATTCCTTTGAAATGAACTTGATCTGTTTCTATTACAATACTAGTTAAGCTTCGAAAGACATGGGAGTAAGTAGTATCATATGGACGTAATCGATAAATCTCGGAAAGAGTATTGATGTGTACTTTTGAAATATTCACTTAATTATATATGCTATAGATGTGAGAGTGTACACACACTCTTATATATTTTGGAGAAGTTTCTTTTATGTTTTTTTTTATATAGATTTTAAGAAGTTTTATGATGATTTTTTATAACTAATACATTGAAATAGTACATCACTCGAAAACTTGATACTAACATATGTCAAGTTTGTTTTATTGCTATTTGCTATTGCATGATTGACATCGTTGATATTGATGTTCAATTTTTTAAATAATCTATTTGTTTTTGAACTTCAATTTAAACGACCATGTATTTATGTAGAGAAAAAGAATAAGATAAATGTTAACACTGTCAAAAATGTGAGAACTAATAAAGTCTGTAAATGCAAAAAAAAAATGATATTATTTTGCTCCTTTTTTCCTATATGAATTTAGATGCCGAATTGTTTTACCAGTCAGTAACTTATTACTGATCAAGATCTTCATTTGCAGCAGATAACTGACATCTTTAGAGAAAATTTTTTCATAGAGAGCATTTAATTCATACCTATTCTATCAATTCCTATAAATGCTTCTCATCAAATATTATGAGAAAGTGTAAATTTTTATTTTGTCGTTGTAGTTAGAAAATATATAGGTTCAAA